GTTGCTGTGAATTGCATGTAAGCCATGCAGTTCACTCCGCAACTCCGCTGCGGACTTCCGTTGTCTAAGTTTGTGATTCCACAGGTCTAGATACGCCTTGTTGTATCCAGTTGCTGCCAAGCATCCTGGGGATTCCTTGGCAGATCATGGTCCCCCTTCTACAGGCCCCATGGGTAGACCCTCAATGGCCCCCCAAACTTACCGGGGATCCCAAGTTTATAGCTCTGGTCGTGCACACCCCTAGATATCACAGACAGTGTCTAATAGTGGCCCCCACCTAGCCAAGGTCTAACCTATGACCCCCTGAGCAACCCGGGTATACCCACCTAGCACATCTGTTCTTGGTTGTTCAAGTGATGTTGTTAATACAACCTAGAGGTTCTAGCCTATCATCAGCAGGTGCACAGTAAACATATGTCCCCCTACCTTAGCCGTTCGCTAGACCCCTCATCAGTTGCTTATTGCCGTACTGTTGTTATTCTGATAGCGACCTAGAGGTTCTAGCCTATCATCAGTAGATCTGCGGCCACCATCCGCCCCTCTACCTTAGTCGTCCAGTATAGATCTCTCTCCAGTCACTTGTGTTTCTTGTTCTGGTCATTATGGGTTGTTTACCATCTGGAGGTATTCTGGCCTCTGTCATCAGTAGCTTCCTGGCCACCATCCATCCCCATACCTAGGTCATCAGCTGGACTCCTGTCGTTGTAGTTGTGTCTTGTCATCACCCAGAGCAGCTCCTGTCTAGGTCATCAGTAGGAACTTGGCCACTTTCCGCTCCCCTACCTCTGTCATCAACTGGGCCTACTCTGGTCTATTTGTCATGAGAAGCATACAATCCCTCCACTACAAATCCCCCCATCACCATCTCACCTGTGGCCCTAAACCCCCCAAAGCAAGGCCAAGGTAACCAACTACTATGTGATCATCCATTCCACTATGCCTATCAGGCCCATCCCTTTCCTGCACCCCAGCTATATTCGTATTATGTGTTGGCCAATCAGAACTGAACCCTGGACCTCTCCCGTGCGGCACCCTAGTTCAACCCACTACCATGCTTGCTCCAGCTGTGACTGCCTTCTCACCTAGCACATTAATTAGTTGTTGGTTCCTCTCTGGGTTTTGGGTGGTTGAGGGGGTTGCTTCCTCAATTGTTACCAGGGGGTTGGTCACGAAGGCGCAGGGATCCAGTTCCCAGGCCATCCCTGCTAACAATAGATAGATGCTCCCCAGGCCATCCCTGCTAACAATAGATAGATGCTCCTGTAAATGTGGTCATATCACACCCGGATCGATTTATCCTGAGGCCGACATAATTCCCGAAGCCAATTACAATAAGACCGTGAGCGCCACTCTGCAGGTGATTATTAACATAAATGTTTTTGGTGCAGCTGCCCAATTTTAAGCATTTGAGGGCCCCTATCGGTTTGTGGAGACCTCCCTCTATGGCCTCCGACCTCGGAACTGGCGGTCCGAAGCCTGGAATACCTAAAAAAAGACGGTCCGATCTGGGCCATAAGATCTTGAAGATCTATGGCCCAGATCGGGCCATTGTTCTTTTGTGCATTCGCACCACGGGCAACCCTCCCGGGGCCACAATTTTGACCCGTCTTCCTCCTCCTCTTCCTCGTCTTCCTCATTGTCTTCATCTTCCCCGTCTTCCTTCTTTCTCCTCTTCCTACTTGCGAGCCCCAAAGCTGGTCTTGTGTGCGTTCTACTACTAATATTTGGGGCAAGACGGGGTGCTGTTCTGCAAGCCAAGGCTGATGACATCATCAGAGTCGAACACGACAGAAAACGTAAAAGAAAAAGAAAAAAGGACACTTGCAAGACATCAAGACATCTCATCTTCTTATCTTAATGTCCTTACAGCTGATGATGATCATGACTATGACGACGATGATGATGATGATGATGATGATGGTTTCCTCAATGTTCATCGTCATCGTCATCATCATCATCATCATCATCATCATCATGATCAGCACTGCACCATCATATTGAAATTGATGCTGTTGCTCCCACTGCTGCTGATGATGATGATGGCCCACCATCCTCACTACTAAATTGTCACCGCCGCATAACAAAAGTAAACAAAACCACATGCAAGATAGCTCATTTGGGTGGCCTGGCCATGCGCAGCCAGGTCACTTGTGCAGAACCTCAGAGAAGGCTTCGGATTGGTCAGAAAAATCTTCGGATTGGCTGGAACCGTGGACAACTTTGGTCTTGGACATCTGGAGACGGGATTTGGGCTCCGGACATCGGGCAGCCTAGATTATAATTAGGAAAAAACAAAGGGGGAACCAGAGAAAGATACCATTGTCCAATCTCTTCCAGCCTTTACTGGACTTGCCTGCTACACACATTCTACAAGGTCTATACCCTAAATTAGAAAGCTAATTAGTCCCTTTTACTCCCACCTATTCTACTTATAGCTTCACACTCACTCACCTAATTGCCATCTGAGTTAAGCTGAGCATTCCTACAAACTTGTACCTACTACCCAGTATCCCACGTCACACTTGGTCCATTCGACGAAATTGAACTTAATTGCAGTTAATTTAAAGCGTAGTACATGTTACGATTCTGGCTAGTTCCGAAGTGCAAATTCACAAGGAAAGACAATGCCACTCAATTGCGAAAGAAATGAAAGCACTTGCGAAGAGATAGAGACCCAAAAGGAAGAAAGAAGAAGAAAGAAAGAAAGAAGAAGAAGAATGTGTACACCAGCAAGACCAATGACAAATCCCCCCTTCTCTCTCCACTCTCCTGCTGGTCCTTATCTCCACCAGTCTTGTTCGTCACCAAATAATCATAATAACAATGATTGGTTGAGCCAGAATCAATATCCAAAGTTCCCTCTTACTGCCAGCACAACAAGATGCCAACCATAGCCATGGCCTCCCTCTTCTTCTACTTCGAACAGGCCTAGGCTATGGCGAACTACTAAGGGCCTTGCCCTGACTTGCAAAAGGCAACGCAAAGCAGCTATGTCTGCTGCTCTTCAGACCGCCATGTCTGACTCTGCCTTGAAGCCTTCTTGGTGTACCGCTAACCCAACTGGGCCCTTCCAGACGCAGTGCCTAACAAGGTGATAAAGATGGCGTTCACCATATCCAGGTAAGTACTCCGCCTCGCCATAGCCAGGCAGAGTGCCCAGCTCTCCTCCTTCCTCCCCAGCAGCGCTCTGAGAACCAGCGCCCGTTCAAGCAGCATGACGCCCAAACTTGCATACTGCAAATGAGGAAGAGCACGCTGCTCTTCCTGGAGATATAGCAGCCAACTTGCCTCTTGGGCGGTGACTTCCAGGCCACTCAGCCTCCAAGCAACCGGTACCTCCTCCCTTTCAGAGGGAAACATCATTGCAGGCTCTGATATTGTCCGCACAATCTGTAGAATCAGGCTGCTTGGACTGGTACCTGCCTACCTAGGCCTACTGGTTGCTCTACCTCTAAACATCCCAACTTTTTGTCTTCTTCTGCCAGGCCTACCGCTACCTGAGTGCTACCGGCCTAGCCTACCCCCTACTTGAGTGGCCCTAAGCTACGTGGGCCTACTTGCCCCCCTACTCTAGTGTTTTTCCCGGCTGCAACCCTCAAGTAGCCCTAAGCTACGTGGGCCTACTTGCCCCGCTACTCTAGTGTTTTTCCCCCCTGCAACCCTCAAGGTCACGGCCACAGGTAAGTACCAGGCCCCAAGGCCTCACAAACACACAAGTACCCGGGTGAGTCACACACACATTCAAGCACTCAGGCAACCTGACAAATACACGGAAACCAGCAAATATACTCACACACAGACTCAGAAATCTCAGCAAACGCGGGAATTACAGCAGACACAAAATGCAGCGGGAAAACTCAGAAATCAGCACAGTTCTTAGTATGTGATAATGGAGGTACAACAAGGCGAGTCTTAGATGACACATTTTTCCGGCCCCGCTGGCAAAGATAACACAGGTTCGACATTGTACAGTATGACACAGGACATTATATGACAACTTAGTACACCCTACAGTAGTACACTGTACTAAATAGTGCACACACTCTAGTACATAGTACATAGTAATACATAGTACACTGTACAGGACATTATATGACAACTTAGTACACTCTAGTGTAGTACACTGTACTAAATAGTACACAATAGTACATAATACACTCTAGTACATAGTACACTCTAGTACATAGTACATAGTAGGACATAGTACACTGCAGTACATAATACACTCTAGTACATAGTACATAGTAGGACATAG